GACCCATTGCTCTGAGCGTCTTGACAAAAATCATGAAGCCCGTCCATGTCCAGACTGCCCAGTTATAGATAGCCAGTAAACTCCGTCTCAGTGAAAGTCGTCATGGCCTCTTCCATCTCTTGGGTCTTAGTAGCCACGTCCACCTCAACCTCTAGAATAAAATCCATGGGAACCACCAGCTCTTTTGCACCTCTCTTTCCCTACTCCACCCCTTCCGCCACACAAGTTGCCCGCACATGAACCAAGGCTTGAAGAAAAAGAGGCCTCTCGATCACCCTATCCACCACCCAACTGAGCCTGTCGCTAAGCTCTCTAGTGCCCCTTTTGCAACGTTCTTAGCAACCAGATCAACCTCTAGTCAAGGCCGGCCCCAAGATTTGGAAGTCCTTGTGCAATTTATTTAAAATAGGCCTTAAATAGATTTTTTTTTTAATTTAAAAACAAAATTTTAATTTGTCATTTCGTCTGGTAATATATTTTTAAGACAAATTCATCCAAAAATCCAAATAAAACAAATATATTATAATACCAATTTTTAAATGAAACAAACACATCCTTTTCATCTATGGATTCAAAAATGACAAATACATTATTACTTTGTATTCATCCCTCATAAATATGACAAACACATTGTCAAACAAAACATTGGAAAAGGAATCGATTCTTGAATCTTCAACAATATTAACAAAAAAACTCCAAGTTTAAGGTTGTAGTAGCATTCTTGCCCTGCTCTGAATGTAATGTTCATGAGTGAACTTACAATCATATCCACATAACACTTGAAAAAACGAGAAAACATAGTATACAGAAAAGTCTATATGTCATTGATAAAATAATAACTAATCCGTAACTCTACATTAGATAAAATTAGTATAAGAAAAAAAATACATGTACTGCTTTTTGGAGGAGTTTGAAAGCAACACCATCGAGTAGAATTACCTTCTTTGAATTCATAGTTTTCATTTTCCTTAGAAGAAAATCAAACTTGATTCTCAATATGGGCTGGAAATCTGCTTCTAAACCTGTACTTTATTGCAACCACTAGAACCACATTAAGTAAAACAACAATTTCTAGAATTTTTAGAAAAATGGCAGTCAGATATTTCTCGCCATATACACTCCCCAACCAAGGCTAACCTAATAAGATATGGGCCGGAAAATGAACATAGGCTACTACACAATTAAAAAATGGGCCTTAAGTTTTAGTGGGCCCTGTTCATTGGAACGTTTTGAACACCCATTAGGCTGACTCTACCTCTAGTTTTGCCGTCCACTGGCTTAGAACGACATTCTCCAAACTCAGGGCTCCTACAAGATCATTTAAGCGCCTCACCTCTTCCTCCATCTTTTCCATTTGTTCTTTTAAGATTTCCTTCTCGATCAGCACCACCACCTACATGGCCTCCCAGCTACACTTGTCGGATTTTATCTTTGCCACCTAGGCTTTCAACTCTTCACATTCAATGCTCTTCCTGTCAGAGTCATATTGGATTGTCTCCACATGGGAGATACGTTTAGTAGCTACGAACAAGTAAGATGACACTTGGGCGGCGGCATAGCGCAAGCCGACATCCATGTGCTCATCTGATAGGACATGTTAGGCCTCAGTTGTAGTAGGAGGAAAAGCGTGCCGACACCACTCCAGAGCGATGTCGTGATCAGAGACAAGGTCTTGGGAAGTTAGCCTCCAAGATGGCATGTAGGCGTCTGGATGAGAACCTACAAAAAGGGGAATTGTTGCGGTTTTACGGGAAGAAGTTGGTGTGAGACCTTGGGAAGGTGAAGAACCAGTCTTCGCCTTGGCTTCTCCAGCAGTTAGAACAGGGTTGGTCTTGTCGGTGCTTTCTTCTTCTGTATGATTGGGCGGTTCAGTCGCCCTGATTTGTGCCCCCTCCAGCAGTATTAGAGGATTTCATCGGGGGCACGTTTGGAACTCTTGGTACCCCGTAGTAAGAAAATCATATTACATTTCTTACGAAGAGAGGACCCGGTGCTAGCCGTCTTAGTTCGACTATCAGAAAAGGCTTATAAGAAAGCAAAACGCCTCTTGACACGACGAAGACTCCTCGAGGACCCAGAAGGTGTAGGATCCTTCTGAGAAGCATCGGTGTTAATAATGTCCTACAAATCTAGATCCTCGTCAATGCCAGTAGCACTGTCAGAACCGATGGTAGCTTTGATTCCTCGACCAGAAACAAGGGGTGGAAGAGCCTCCACAAGATCGACGTCGCGACACAGAAGTTCACCGTTGAATAGACCTTGAAGAGCTTTCTCTAAAGAAACAACCTCCTCGACACCTAGAAACAAAACAAAAAACAACATCAGTTAACCAAAATGTCGATTTAAATGTGCTTTGCCAATTAAAAAGGGGGGGGGGGGAGGGGGCAAGAGAAACTACTCTTGGAAGCAAAATACCCTCTTTCTCGACGAAAACTCGGGCATCTTCCCGCGAGTCCTCCAAATGATGCTTATTCTACCTGCGGACAAGAAGCAGTCAAGCCAATCTTCATCATTGATGGTAATCTTTTCTAGGACATCAGTTAGTTCGTTGTCAGCATCAAAAAGTGTTGGAGCACAGTCGACATATACCTTATCCCTTGGGTAACTGAGCACCACGAGGTCGTTGTTCACCCATAAAAACTTTTCTTTCCAGTTCTTCTTGAAAATTTTATCATGGATAAGAGTAACGACTCCCTACTGAAGAGAAAGGGTTCAAGTCCCCGACTGAGTAGAGGCGTTGAAGAAGCACTTGAATGCCGGAACATTTGGCAGGCCGCCTAGGGCACGACAGATGAGTTCAAAACCCACTATCTTGTTTATAGCAATAGCGGTCAACTCTCGCACGGAAAACCTATATTCCCAGATAATCAGGTTGAAGAAGTCGGTGGAAGGCAAACGCTTAGCCGCTTCGAACAAGGTGATTGGAATGACGAATATTCCCTTAGGAGGACTGTAAAGCGATGCTTCAGGAAGGGGGATTTGCACTCCGTGTTTGGAAAAAAAAACCCAAATCGGAACTCAAAAGATTCCCATTCTTCGGTGGTAAGATATCTTCCCTAGGAACGAGCGGTAGCCATGGAAAAATATGAAGAAAAGGTCGAGAGGGTTTCTTTAGGGGAAGAAGGCAAAGAGAGAAAAGTAGAAAGTAAGGAGGAAAAACCAGGAGAGACAGAGGTTTAAATACCACTAAATGGGCAACAATCCGTTTTCATGATGAAAGCGCCAAAGAACAGTGATATCTCCCTATCAACTACATAAGCTTGTTGGATAGTGTCTAAGTTCGTAACTATAATTGGTATGTACATGACCCGAGAGTAGCATGGTCCATTTGGATTGCATATCACCAGGACAATTTGATAGGATGGACTTTTGAGAAGAGGTTATTTATGGTTTATTAATATTTTATTAGTTCTAGTATATTAATATGAAATCATATTATTTAATTAGTATTGACCAAGAATTAATTTGGAATTAATTTTGTGATCAAAAGAGACTAATTAAATATAATGGGTTGATTTGGTAAATCATTCATTCTTATAAAGTGTGCTTATGATCCATAATTCTTCATGTTGGGCTAAACCCATGTGGTAACCCATGGATACTACATGGAGGTTTTAACCAATAGAGCATGATGGATACGGAAAGTCATTAGACTTTACATGGTGTAACCCTAGCTAGCTACACTATATAAGAACCCATCTAGCTCATGAAATTGGTACTTAAATGGAATACTAGAGGACTAGCCGATTTGTGTTTGTAAGGAATCTCTTCTCAAGTTATCCTTTGTTCTAGGTGTGTTGTGATTCCATTTGAGGCATTCATACTATTGGTGCTAAGCTCTTCGACTTCCAAGGTTTCCAAGCTACAAGAACAGGTATGTTATCTAACTTGTTTTATTACCCAAGTATCAAATTTTGTATGCTAGTGTAATATCTTGGAAAGTTCAAGTTTGCATGTATAATAGATAAAACATAGATCCAAGGTATTTAGGGTTGCATGTACACGTTAGGAGTGTTGGAATTATCAAAACCCAACAGTAGTATCAGAGCCTAGGGTTGTTTTCCAATATACTTGATGCTACTTTCTTGGAAATGCTTTGAAAACCAAATTTCAACTTTCAGGACAGTGGACTTGTCGAGTCCAAGCACATTTCTGACCAACTCGCCGAGTTTGTTCTTGCATTCGATGAGTCGGTGCTCAAGAATGCAGTTTTTCGAGTTTTTGGCTGGAATTGGACTAGGATCATTACCCTAAACTGTTTTTTAGCTTATAAACCTGTTTTTGATGTGGTAATGATCATGCTTATCCAATTTAAAAGATATTTGTCAAAGTTTCATGTTTTGTATTAGTTTATATGGTTTGGCTAATTAGATGAAATTTGTTTTCTATGAATTGTCTTGTTCTTATGAGTTTAATTTAGATCATGGGCAAAATTGTTTGATTTTTGTATGTTACAATAGTTGTTCTAAATGTTTTGATGAATTCCATAACTTATCATCAAGTTATGGAAAATGAAAAGTTTTTCTTTTAAAGAGATCATTATAGTTATAGGTTATGAACTTGAAGAGTCTTTTTCCATAAATGCTTTTTATGAACTCCATAACTTGTCCTCAAGTTATGGATTTTCAAGAGTCTTTTCATTAAACCCTATATCAAACTCATAAGTTATGGATTGCAAAAGTTTTTTAATAGCTCAAAACTTTCCCTCAAGTTTTGAAATTTGTAAATGTAAAAGTCGAACTTTTGAAACATTTAATTCCAAACCCTACAATTATAAAGTTTAAAAATCCTACCCTTATACTATTATAATATTATGGGTTTAATGTTTATATATATGTATAAACACAAAGTCAGTCTTACCGTTAGTAGGCCTCATTCACGAAGTCAGTCTATAAGGAGGTATAAGGTTATTGCATATAAAATGACAGTTTATTGGGTGTCCACTCTCACCCACCGCGTCCTTGACTGGTGGAGGTCGTTAGCTGAACGGGTAGGATAGGACTCTAATTCTCCCTTTATTAAAAGTACAATGATAAATATAATGTAACCGAACACTTATAAACTCCCAAAATCTTAGTTACTTAGGAAAATGTGAACATGGTGCTAACCCATGAAATTGCACTTTTCACCTTGTTAAGTAGTTAGTGGAGCGTGTATGGTTAACCGGCACACTAATCTGGACTGACAGTGTGTGGCAAAGGGTAGCTTGATGTTAGTCATAGATCAATGGAGTGTGTATGGTTAACCAGCACATTGATTAGGTGGTTGTAACATTGGGTGTACCAAGTTTATTTGCATGTTTATTCATACCTTGTTTGTGGTGCTCAATATCCCAGTCACAAACTTGAAGGGCACAAGATTTAAACATGCCATTGAATTGTTCAATGAATCTTAAAGGATCCAGGAATTTCAATTCACTTAAAACCTAAAATTCTTTTTCATTTTTCATGGTGGAAATTGGTAAATCGTCATTTACCTACCTTCAAATATTTTTTGCAGTTTTGATTACGGCATCCCTCTTCCAAATTGTAAAATATTGTGCTGGGTCGTAGCCTTAATATTTCTTTTGGGTGTTATGTTAAGGAGTAAATCAACTGACTTGAATTTCTCCAATTGTAGATGTCTAGTTCAGAAAACTGTGGTCTTTCCAAATCCTTTGGACCAAGCTTTCCTCTTGATGATGATGTTACAGGGTTGGATCATCCAAGTCATACTTCACTTCCTCCACCTCCTCCAATATTTCACCTTAACCCACAAGTTTAAAGACTTGAAAAATTCAAGGTCACTCAAGCCCTACTTGCAATGAAAAATAATATGGAAGGCATGTATGTACTCATGTCTTGGAGATGAAGTCACATATTGAAAGGGTGAGAGTAGTGGGTGTCATTGTCTTGAGGAAGTTGGTGGTTGACTGCATTCTTCAATCACTTCCTGAGTCATATAGTGAGTTCATTAAGGACTACTATGTGACAGACCACGACATGAACCTTAGTGATCTTGCCTATTTGCATGTTGTTGTTAAATCAACAATGATTTGGCGCACTAGAAAAGCAAATTTGATTGGAATATTTACTCCCCAAATTTCCGTGGACATTGACAATGGAAATATTGGAAGTCCAGAAAAGATTTCTCTTTCCAAGGGAAAGAGAAAGGCTAAGTTTGATATTTCCCAGTGTACCATTTCAAAGAGTCTATATGTTTCTATTGCCAAGAAAAAGGGCATTAATTGCAAAGCTGCCTTGGCTACCTGAAAGATCTGAGAAAATGTAGAATCGAAAAGTTTGACTCTGCTTAAGGTAAGTCTACTATCTAACTCTATTAAGTTCCTATTTTTTTTATTCTTAATACATGATGTGACAAGGTTGAATTTTGATGTTTTTTAGGATCATGCGAAGGGAAGGAAGCTTAAAAGAAGAGTATGTTGAATTTGATTGTGAAAATAGATTCCTATCGCATGGTTGTTACTTCGGAGTTATGATAGATTGCTAGGAAATATGTAATAACATAGTTTTCATTTGTAGTTGCATTGTAAGGAATAGTTTTTTCCTTATTTTATAAATGAAAATTTTATTTTATTTTTATATCTCCTTGCAATGGCATTTGTGAATGTTGATGTTTGTATGTTTCTACCTTTAGCAATATGAATTTGATTATTTCATTTGTGGTGGTGTCTAAAATTACCAAATAAGGAAAGATTCTCTTCACCCAGGTTTCAATTGGACAGAAACTTGGAATCATGCAAGTTGTATTGTATGATGAATGCAAATTTTCATCTTTGGTAAATTGAGACTGATTCCTTGTTCATATGTATATGTGAGTCAAGTGAAAGGACTAGGGGATCGGGTACACTGGGTGTGCACTGGTCAAGATCTACCACAAGGATTGATAAGCCTATTCGTCACGATTTACTAAAGTTTAGTAAACATGGTTATGCTTACAAGTTTAAGTATAATTCTAAAAGATTGGAAAAGGTTCAATGTATGGCAGAACGAATGAGAAGAATCAAATTAGGCAGAAAGATAAAAGTTTCTCCAATCTGAAAAGATGGGAGAGTACTTTAGTAGCATGTTTTATGATCATCTAAATGTTTATGGAAAAATCATATCACAATTGATCCTCTAAAGACATCTTAGTGCATTTGTATGGCTAAGAAGAGGAATCGTGAATTGTTGAAATAGTTTAGATCAAAAATATGAGTCATACTTCTTTCCCAAAATGACTCTTAAAGTCACACTCCACGATTGTAACCTTAAGTGACATAATCTTAAGGGACGGTTTAAAACACTTATCAAATGTAGAGTAAAAGTTTTTACTCTTGTACATTTGAAATTGGTAAGTTGTGATGTTTTTTGGATAAAACAAAGACCAACTAAGGCCAATTGTGTGAAGTGTTTGTCTTGATAAGAACCCGCACTAACTCTTGAATATTTGATTTGTCAAGGAATGATTCATGACAAGAGAATATTATATGTCAAGAGGGCAGTGGGAGTCTTAAATATCTTGACAAGTTTCAAGAACTAATCAAGAATAAACCTATTGTTAAACACTACCACACAACTTGTGGTTTGTAACCTATCGTGTTGACATATTCTAGTTTTTGTGGCCATTCTAGTAAACTTTACTATGCATGTGAGTTCTATGAGTTCTTTGTTGTTTGCATAACTACTTGGAAGCAATGGTTAGCCCTTGTGTTGCCTGGTGGCAAGAAATTAAGATTGAACAAGTTCAATCCATATAAGTTTGGATTTGTCACTAAGCTTGCCTTGTGATTATGGTTATGATGAATTCACATGGATATGAATGCAAACACCTTAAAATCTAAGTGTCACAACGTTTCTCTCCAATTCATGAAAATGATTGTGAGGAAATGCTTTCATTAAGTAGATTTTAAGGAGATAGCAATTGTGATATTTGCATTTTCAAATTCGATTATGATTATGACATCCCTTTTTCATAATTCGAATTATGAGGAATGGAAAAAAGGTCTAAACATTTGATACTTATTGCTATAAGTTCTGAAATTTTTTAGACACGCATGTGAGCTATCTAAGGAAAGGTGTACGTTTTTGAGAAGCCTAGATAAAGTCTTATCAAAGCATCTCGTATCATAAATCTGAACTTTGGTAAGAAAGTCAATAAGTGTTGATTTCTAGAATTCCAGTTGATTTCTGAATACATGTCAAAGCTAGTGGGAGCATAAGTGTTACATTAT